TCATTATTTCGGGCATATCAGCAATATCTTAAATTGGCAACCGAATGAAAGGAAAGGACCCACTTGTGCCAATTTTGATAACGGCGTCGTATGAGTCAGCTTGCCCCGCATTATGGACATTATTCATTGCTTTATGTAACACAACTGTTACAAAATTTACAGTTACAGTCACCGGCGTAAGAGCTCCTTTGTTTTATTGAAATACTGAAAAACAACGATGCAAAATACTATTGTGAACGTTTCGAGGTCATATTTTGTATTGTATTTGAGCACAGTTGTTTACTGTACTGCATTTTTTTCTCTTGCGTGCACCGGAATTAGCATAACCCGTTTCCTTATTTTTACTCGGAAAATGTTTAGCTGCCACTACCGATTCTAACCCCCAATGGTTTCAAGGAAACTTTTGACCTGTTATTTTCGATTTTTTTAAATAAATTTCTATTTATCCAACAACGGCAAAGTCAACTGGATGGGCGTCAGTCTATTTGCAAAAATAAAACTGCTGATCCTTTTATAATAAAGAAGAGGCCTTCTCGCTCGGCTTCGGCTCGTTAGTGTTGTTAGTGTCGAGTCCAGGGTTTGTCTTCTACAAGCTCCAACATGTTGCTAATCAATTTATAATATTTCTGAAACATATTGAACTTCATTTGGAAATTTTGATATCAAATGGGCGGTAGGCATATCTAAATTCCGTCCGGGTCAGGGACCATGGTTCACATAGCCGTGAAGTTTAGTATTCGATATCAATTAGGGATTTCCGAATACTATAGCCAGTAATAGGTTGACAGCGAACGTTTGAGACGTAATATAGACAGGGTATTCCACCTTCCATCAAGTGATCCTAATGCTTGTGCATGCGCAACATTTATCAAGGAGTTCTTGAGTCAATACAAAAATTAGGCCGCTAGAGGCATAATAGCCTAACTGCAAATTTTATAACTTGAGTTACTTATATTTTTATAGTAAAAAACTGCTAATCTACAAAAGCACAGTGGCAGTAAATTTGTTAAAACAATTTAAATTACATTCCTTTAAACCACTCTGCCTCTATCAGCCTCAATTGTACCAACAGATTACTGTATAGAAACATTTAATAGTTTCCTTATAAAATTGTTAGTCGACAATGGGAATTCTGCCATCGATCACTTCCATGAAACTAATTTAAATGTAGGTACTGTATGTCGATTAATCTGTATTAAAACTTGTACGTCACATGCATTTGACATTAAGATAATAATCTTACGAAGAAACAGCTGTCTCATTACTCCTACGCAAACTTTGAGTATCGGGATTTGTTTCCTTGGTGACGTAAAAGAACGTCGAAGCTATTCTATCAAAGGGATTGTTTAATTAAACACTTTTAACGGTTTAAATAGGACACATTTACTAACATATTTTGCTTAAAAGACGAGAGATGTAAGAATGTGAAAACAAGACAGCTCAATTCGTTAGACATCAATATCCTAGTGGATTTTTCATGTAGAATTTTGGTATGATTAGTTATATATAAGTTTGATGGTAGGTGAAATACTCCATATAACATTTGTTCATGATACGCTGTCGGCCTATTTTGGCTTTGGATATTCGGTTATTAAACTTCGTGGCTTTTTCATCTGCGGAAGATGTTTCGTGACCCGGACGGAAGTTTCCATATTCCTACCATCTATTTAATATCCAGATTTCCAAACATGTTTCGGAAAAATTATAGATTGATCTGAATCATGGTGGAGCAGGTGGTCGAACCCACGACCCGTTGATTACTAGACATTACTACCATTACACCAAAGCCAAAATCAAGTACAATATACCTGGGCGATGTGTCTATATAAGATCTTATACACATCGCCAGGTAAATATAATATTACGAATTATTTTAAACTAAGCTACAAAGCGAACAAACAAAATACTTAAACGTATTCTTTAAAATATGAGATCGGTTCGAAGGAGTTTATGAACCTCAAATCGTGCAGGAATGCCTCTTTTTAGAATTACCCTCGATCACTTCCAACGAATCTTACAGACATAAGTTATATGTAATTGTACACGTGGTTTTGTTTTATTAATGTTTGTTATATTGCATTAGGGCTGTTTAGATTTTTGACATAACGTTTTTTTTCAGAATTCCTTGTAAATGAAACCTAGCCAGTGTTATTTTTATTGTTTTACCTGAGTTCATTTTTTATTTACCAGGAAACTAACAGAAATATTACAGGAACGTATTATAAGGAATAGACAGTAAAAATAGAGTAGAGAGCTTTACTCAAATATTGTAAATCAATAATTTAATTCTTACATTGTAAACGATTGTAAGACCAGGAACTTTTTAATGCAAACACAAAAATACAGTGGTATCATCTACTTAAATAAATTATACATACATATTTCTATATTTCTTCGGTAAGTTTTCGTTTAGGTGTTGTCTGTAGTTAACTCGAATTGTATACATATAACACTTTTAACGGTTTGAAACTGGAAATTTATAAGTAAACTTGTTTACCTATAGTTGTTTATTACATTTAACTTTTTTTTGTATGTGCTGTGTGAGTAATCTAATAAATAACTTACAAATAAATTTATTTTGCGTTGTGTTACCCGCGTAAGTACAATACTTTTAGTATTTTCACTTGTTTTGCACTAGTCGTGTTTAAGAGAATTCTGAGTTGTGTTTAAATTTAAAATTAAGAATCACATTTCACACTTCACCGTACAAACGCTTTTGTAACGGTTCAGGAGTGTAGGCGTAAATAAGTATAACCTCGTTAATCCTAACCTAGATCCAGACCTAAGCTATGCATTGTGTTGCTAACATGTTCATGTTTTAATAATCAAGATATTATTACTAACAACGGTTTCACCATTATTCATATAATATAGCAAAGTAAGCAAAAGCTTTAATTCCAAATAAAACGCTTTTAAAAGTGTAAAACTGGAAATATACTACCGAATGTGTTTTAATTACGACCATGATCTCAATATTATGTTTTAAATGCTTAAGACTGTTAACATTGTTGTATTACACGACTAAGCAGATGATGCTGTTTTTTTCAACGTGGTACTTTAGTTCTAAGAATTGAAACAAATTTTATTACAAGACCTTTCAAATATCATCGAATTATTTCTAATGCGTAAGCGCAGTTTGGTATTGAAATTTGTATGAATTATTTTATCGTCATTTACTTTATAACTTCAACGTAGAGATGTGAAGATACTGCTATCATAAAAATAAACAGTGCATTTGACAAATGAACTATGCATATATTAAAGATGATTTATTTGTTTTAACTTGTGAAACGCAGTCATTCACCCGAAACCGCAAGACGTGTGTCACTTGTATGAGGAAATGCAGGGTTTAAGGTCGTACGTGAAATACGATAGAAGATAGTTATAAACCATATATTTTTTATATTAAAGCCTGAGTTATTTTTTTAATGTTGCCCTAAGATCTAAATGTCCTAGGATTTTAAAACGACAAGGTATGTACAATTGTGTCTAAGACAGGCTATATATGCCTGTAGCAGGGTTGGATTCTGGAAAACAAGAAATTGTTACCTTTATCCACGTTAGTTACAATTTACGTTAAATAAATCAAGTAATATAATAGAGAATAAGACACTTAAGATACATCATTACGAATTATTAAAATGATACAAAATTCACAAAGTGTGTGGATACTTTCATGGATCGAACTGACAAAAAAAACAAAATGTCGTCAATGTATGTTATTTATTAAAATAATATAATCTAGTTCTCGAAAGGATACTTTCAATACTATTTAGGTAATACAAATAAATATAAAACCAATTTTATACCATAAATAACACAAAGTTTATTAAGATTTTGTAAAAGAAATAAGTCCTTCACAGATTTGAAATTCTAAACAAAGACTTAGGAAATATTATCTACTTCAAGGAACTGATTTGAGATACTTACTGTCCTTGCATTTAGATCACTAGTTTATGTAGAAAGCTAAGGCACTGGTTTTTTAAGTCATGGCCCTCCGAATGTTAAAGTAACATTTGATTTATGATAAACGATAACTCGAGTTGTTTGAACATGCGACGTTCAGTGTTTGCTTTAAATATTATATATAAGTAGGCGCTCTTGTATTGATTATTTTTAAATGTTCTTACAGAAGGACAAGTAACAATAAAAATACTAGTGATAAAAACTCGTGACAGGACCACAAAGACGAAGAAGATTTTATACAACGCTATAGCAGAAATAGATTCACTAATGACGCTTCAATCAAATCTAACTAATCGTATTAAAATGTTTAATCATATTTTAAAATATAGAAAAGGAAAACAAAAGAGTAATGATGCTATAAAAGTCAACAAGTGAAGAAAAAATATGCAATACATTTTAATATCTGAATTACAATGTACTTTAAAGTATTGTAGCAAAGTGGTCGATATTTTACATTTTCTAAATGGGCGAACGGATAATGTGCCTTAAATACGTTGAACGCGAAAAAGGAATAACCCAAAAAGAAGAGATGTTTGTATTCATTCCTTAATTTAGAATCTACGTGAATATGTCACTTTAAGTTAAGATTAGGTCAGCGTTATACGTCCTAAGGCATTGTTTACGCCAAATCTTACAATCACTTCTTTCTAGTTCTAAGGGTCGAAAGAATACATCGTTAACGAGAGGTCCTAAGTAGAAACCCATTTCTCCCATGTGGAAGACACGTATCTATATTTCATTGATCGATATCCGTTTAAGTAGTGGAAGAGTTACGCTTGCCCAATCGAAACTATAATAATACATTTTGACAAGGCTGTAAACTATATTGTTAACTAATTGTAAGCTTTTAAAGGAGTCCGTATTACCAGGAACTAAATAATACATAAACAGCTTAAGTAAATTTTGTGGGTCACAGTGACCTCATTTCTTAGATCAGGGTGAAAATTATTCATGTAATAGCTATGACCTGCGGGTGTTTGCATCGAGCGGGTTAACACACAACAAAAACGCCCTTGAACTTGGTGAGTTCACCAATGCCACCACCGGCGTTCTGGAAAGCCACCCTGCTTAGTCAGCGTAGACAATGGCTTCGTCACCAGTATAAGGACTACCGAAGGTCGAGCACCACACCATATGTTAACAAGTAACGCCTTTGTTGCTGATACTGTAGATAATAGAAATCGCGTGTTTGAGGAAATCATTTTGAAATTATCATTTACCTTCATAAGTTTGTAAAGCAGCGTTTGCACAAATACTGTAAAACGTATAGGTGCAGTTGTTTTATCGTTCTTTCTATTTGCATGGTACATTTTTGTGTCTTTATTTCGTATTTTATTCTTTTTTTCTGGACACAATATATGTAGCCCATATATATTATATTAATCAGATTTATTAAAATAATATCTTGTACCATCCGTAGTACAAGTAGATAACATATAAATAAATCACACACTTTTAGCGGTTGAAAAATACCCAAAAAATACGTTAGAAATGAAGGTTAAAAAATGTCCAGTCCATGACAGTATGTCTATCTTTTAAGATTAACTTGCGAGGACGACGTCGTGGATAACAGCTAAATATAGATAGGTATATATGAAGATTAGGAAGAGGTTTGCAAAAACAAAATTTAATGCTCAATATAATTATTCTACGAGAAGGAAGTCGCGGGCATAGCTACCAGATAGGATAATAGAAAGGATAGCTCAAAACTTACCTTCATAAGCATGTAGAATTGTAAAGAGATATGAATTGTAAAGATCTCTATGATACCTTCAGGGATGAGTCACATCAATTAAACATATAATAAAATAACCGTTATTACAGAGTAGAATTATTAATCAATCGATCATTATTGTAATCTTTATAGAGTTCTACTGAGTGGAAACATTATAATTTAAATTTAATAATTCATAAGCATTAATTTCAACTATTTTTAACTAAATACTGTCTATAGTTTACGCGAGTAGTACACATTTAAATAAAACACTTTAACGTCTAAAACCCTTTTTTTTTTTAATTTTTTTAAATTTTTTGGGGGGGGGGGCGAGGGACCCCGTGACCACGGCTGCTGCAAAGCATCCGAAACGTCGGGCCGAAGTTAAAAATCATTTTCAAATAAGTTTAACTAATATATCGCGTTTTAAACCGTTAAAGTGTTTTATTTAAATATTTTTAACTAATTTAAATACATTGAAAAAAACAACTAGGAGGACTTGACATTATTGTCTTTTTGTAAAGCTTTTTCAGAGAGTGAGAGATTTTTTCAATTTATTTTCGATTTTTAAATTATATAGTGTCTTCATGTATAACATGTAAAAAATAATGAAGTTTTCCAATATTTTCAACTAATTTTCGATTAAAGAAAGAAGATGAAAAGCGCGACTATATTTCTTGCCAGTAATTTTGTTGAAATGTATTTTGAGTTTAACATGTACAGTTCAATAATCTATACATAAAAAAACTTAAAGCATTTTTTGTTTACTTTATGTACAGATCTCTTATGATAGTTGAATGATAAAATGCGATAGGCTAGTATTGGTATACGGCACGTGTATAACAGAGGCGCACACGCAACAAGCATTCAAATTACTTTACAACAATTTATCTGCAGAAGCATTGTTTATTAATTAAGTAAACATATCTCTATTCTATTTACTTCCGATTGATCAATGTGCTTCAACATAAGCTTATGTGGATTTTTTTTAAACGGAAAACTATGAATCCAGCATCCACTTTTTTAGTTATCATCCTCACAAAATATATATAAAACAACATGTCATTTAATGTCTAAAAAAAACTAGTAATATACTACACAAAAATAATCATTTTTACAACGCATCGAATTGAAATAAACAGAATACTTACATTAAAATAAAATACCGGCATCTGAAATCCGAACTAATAAAAATAATTTAGCAATATAGTTTAAAGCAACAAAAAGTGCCACAGTTTAAAAAGCCGTGAACATTAATTGTACTTCGGTTTTAGTCTGTTGATTTAAGAATGTCTTAAATAGTGCATTTTGTTTAGTTGCTATATAGCTCCCAGCTCTTATCATTATTAGTATTTTACCATACACCAATTAAAGATATATATTTTTAAATTTATTTTTACTATAATTACAGTAATAAGTTTTTTCTTAGAACGTACGCATTGAAAATCGTAAACTTTCATTCCCGATTACGCGCGTAAGCTTTTTCCGCGAATTAAGTTCAGCTGGGCGAAGGCCTATGCAGGGCAAAGCCTTTTATAAGGCGGCGCGAACCGCGCGGCGGCATACGGTACTAGTCGCGGACGGCGGTAGGTTGTGCCTGCTTGGGGGCACTACGATCGCTTGTGCCGATATCTCACGGCAACTCATTTTCTTTGAAATTTCGTGTAATTGCAAAGAAAAGTGATCGGTCCAGTGACTGAGTGCTGTGAACTCACATATCAACGTGTTCAATTTTGTGTGATCATCGGAAAAGTAGGATTTTGTGAGCTCGGGATTTTATCTGAGGCAAGTTGTTTACGATGTGAATAATCGAGATTACAAATGGCTTTATATTTATATATATACATATATTATATAGCACAGACTAATATCAAGATACAAATTGCTTATTTATAATCTGCAACTAATCTGTCCGTATAAAAACATAACTCGCTAGTTATGCGACAATTGTATAAAATAATTGTCGTTAATTATATTGATTTTCTAAGAAAACGCAACTTTTAGTGATAATAATTATATCATGTTTAATCATAACGAGGAAAAACTTAATAGCCCTTTTGTGTAGATCTTAGGATGCAACGTAAAGACTTACTATTAAAAACCACTATCACAGACACACACACATTGTTTCAATTTTAGATCAGTAAACTTAAACACACCATAAACAAAAAAACAACAAGCGGTACTTCCTAACTGTATTAACATACTTACTTGGACCTTCGGGTTTCATCGTAATTTTTCAAGGACTTAATCAACTGTTTCTGTTTTTTTCTATACTTGCTTCAGTTTTAAATGTAAAATCAAAAGCAAAGCAACAAACTGAACCTAGTATACATACAAAGACTTTGAACTTGTCTATTTGTATGTGTTACGTGTAATAATGTGGTCAGTCCCCTAAGCACCTGAGTTGAATATATAGCGGTTATCACAATAAATGATCGTTCCAAGATGAATTTTTAACCAGTTCTATTGTGCTTATAAAATATAAATAGAACCTCTTTCGTTCCAAATACAGAAAAAACGTCGAATTTGTTTTTTAAGTTATGTAGCGTATACCACAAAGGAGGTTTTAATTAAATTAAATTTAGGTGTAGAAGCGTAAATTATGAGAAATTAAATTGTATTAAAAAAAATGATACAAGCGGGATTTAAAACCATGACTACTGTACAGAGCAATCCTTAGTTCTTGTTTATTAATTAGGCATAGGGCGACGCGTTCCTCATTATTTAAGAATAATATTGGAAAATCAAAACTACGCTATTTATAATATTGTTGGTTGAATTATGTTCATTTTGTCTGTTTTGGCTAATAGTCCTTTAGACAAACGTCTTCCCATTCTCTCTTACTTCATTCACCAGTCACTACAATATCGCCGTCTTATCTGATAAAATTTTGTGGATAAGACATTTAGTATCTTGCTGATAACAGCAAATATTAACGGCTTTGTACCTCGCATAATGAACTACGACAAACTATAACCTAATAATTATTTCGGTTTTCCTCTGCGTCAGTATGTAACTGTATTATTAGTTGATGAATGGTTAAATGCTTAGAGGTAACAATTATAAATTTTTAACATATTAAAAATGTGTCCGCCTTACTTTCATACTTAGATGTCAAAAATTTATTTCTTTTTGATTTTAAACCCCGTTTAATATTTTTACTTTCATGCACTTAACTGTTTAAAATCTGGATGTTTAATGCAATTTATTTTCCAAAATGTAAACATAATTGTTGGTACATGGATACATTTCATATAACCACTTTAACAGTTAAAAACACGAAATATATAAGTTAACTAATTCAGTAATCACGATTGGTGCAAAGCATTCTAAACGTCGAGCCGTAATTTGAAAAAAATCGTAAATAAGTTAACTAATATATTTCGAGTTTTGAAACCGTTAAAAGTGTTTATTATTTAAATATATAGGCGTATACAATTACAAACTACTACCTTCATGACCTTTTGGTAGACAACAGTATTAGCTTAATTGCTTGTAAAGTAAAAAGCCATAGTTTTTGTACTCGTAAATGGCATTCCTCAATAAATCTTTGTGATTTCATATGATGGCGGTAGCTACATTGTCATTAGTATGGCACGGAGCTTCCGGAAGAAGGAAAGCTTTCAGGGTCAACAGATGGGAATCTGCACATGACAACGATGTGCATACCATCTGAGTGTCTGACTCATTAATATTTATAGGCTAAATAAGAACTAGATTTTAAGACAGATTTCATTCAAGAAGAATTAAAGTTTCTGAACTAGGCTGCCTTCATTTGTATCAATTCAATGGTTTTCTAAACACTGTCTATAGTTACGCGAGTAGTACACATGTAAATAAAACACTTTAACGGTTTAAAACGCGATATATATTAGTTACACTTACTTGAAAACTTGACAATGGTTGCTGCAAATAATATGCATGCATGTTCAAATAAGTTATCTACTACATATATATATCGCGTTTTAAATCGTTAAAGTGTGTGTTATAATAAATATTGCAGTTCTAAAAAAACCTTCAGTTTAAATACACTTATGAAATTGTTTAGTGTAATCTTTGAAACTTGTTTTGACGTCGACTTGATTTGTCCAAATGACATTTTTCCTTATAGAAGGGTTTTTTACTGCAATCGTCGACGTAATCTAATAGTCAATAGGCTGGTTATTAATGGTTAGATAACAATTGACTATCTTGGTCAACTGTAATAACGGTAAATGTAATAAACACAAAATACTTTACTTATAAACTTGTACAAATTACTTTTATTTATCACTTGAAATATACCGGGCATTAAAAAAACGACATTTAGAGTAGATTTCCTATTATCTTAACTAAAAGTTGGTTTCGATATGTTTAACTTCCAAATTTATGGCGGTCTAGTTGGTATAATGGTAGCAATATATGGTTTACAACGTCTTGTGATCGATCTCTACCGGGTTAGACATGTTACTAATCAATTTATAATTTTTCCAAAACATTTTAAAGTTTGTCTGGAAATCTAGATATTAAGGGGTGGTAGAGTTCTCACAAATAGAAAGAGACGAGTATAATTGCGTTTCGCTTTCAGTCTGTGGATTTTCGGACATCCAAAGCTAAAATAGGACGATAGCGTATCTTGAGATGTTATATGGTTGGCAATTAGGCAATAACGATACAATTAGGTGAAATAATTGCTCGGAGGGATAAAGTTTGAGCTGTGGGTCCCGGGTATCATCTATAGCGAAACGCACTGAAGTAACATTAATTATTTGAAACGCTATGAAATTGATAAAGTACTGTCTATAGTTTACGCGAGTAGTACACATTTAAATAAAACACTTTAACGGTTTAAAACGCGATATACGGGTCTCCCCGTGACCAAAGCATCCGAAACGTGAAACGTCGGGCCGAAGCTAAAACAGTTTCAAATAAGTTTAACTAATATATCGCGTTTTAAACCGTTAAAGTGTTTTATTTAAAAGTGATAAAAGTTGGGGGTAAATTTAAAGAATGCAGAAGAACAGTCTTAACCTGGAAAGATGCAAGAAACAGTTAAGTGAATGCGATTTGCCCCTTCCTGGACTACTAGATGACGATCACGACCTTTCTGCCAAGAGTTACACTGAAGAAAAGGTTTCTAGTTGTTTAGTTAAACTAAGGAGGGATATGAATACTTAATATATTCGTATCGAATTTAAGAAAACCTTATGCAAAACGGTGTTTTCCAACAAAACAAAAAAACACCAAAATTCCACTCGCGTTTTTCCTCATTAAGTAGCTGCGTATAATCATGGGATAGAACTATGTTACGCACGACTGGTTATTCAATGAAGGTGACCTTTGTCAATCAATTTAATCACACGATTTACTTCTGCAACTACTGGCTTTCTTGGAAACGCTTCTAAGACACCCGTCGTTTGATTGCTAAATCTATATAATACATTAATTCCAAATCGCTGTAAACTACGTGACTTTGAAATCGAGAGTTTTCTATAGACCTAAAGCTTTCGTTTCGCCAAATTCACGCACGTCGCCAACGAATATTGGTAGAGTTTTCGGTGATGAATTTCGATACTTTACGCAATCTAGACTTTGTCAGATTGATTAGACGCTGATCGGTGAAATTTCACAAAACAATTAGGTTCAAACGGTATTTTCGGTGCCAAGATTATTAATGCAATCATAGTGAACGCTAAAAAAGTTTAAATAAATAATGTTAGGTAAGAATTTGAACCCAATGTCGGAGAAACCTCCGTTGACACGCTCTGGTGAGCGGAACATTGCTGCCGACACTTTGTTGCTTATCAGCTTTTAAGTTTCATATCGGATTTCTTCTTGACATAACGAAGGATGAGTTCTAGAAGTGAAGTTGATAATACGACGGCTCTCATAGTCTAAAAATAGTAGTACATACAACAAGGAGTTACAACAATCCCATATAGAAATTAAGTAAGATTTCCTCTTATCTATGATTGCAATAAAAAAGAAATTATTTGTCTCGTGTTTAAAAAAATATTTTTCAATGTAGAGTCCTCTTGTTTGAAAGAAGTGTTTATAACTAAGTAAAGCTCGAATTAACCTCCTATATAAAATAATCTTATAAAAGTCTCGTTCAATTAAATACAAAATATTATAATAAATATAATAGATTTATTAATTATAATTGAAACAACAAATTACAACAAAGAGTGTCTTTCTAACTTTTATGTTCACACTTACCTATTTATTGTATGCACAGCACTAACCGATTAGTTTGTTGGTATCTTTTATACAGATAAGTGTTATACAAGTGTGTCGCAGAACTAGGTCAAAACTGTCATCATTTTTTAGTTGCAGATCTTTATCGTGTTTATCGTTTTCAAAGACCATTCTTATTAAGTGTTACGTACATAGTAATAAATGCGTTTAATGATTTGCGCGTATACATATCATTTGCATATTTAAGAAGATCAACTCATTATGTTATGAGTCATATAAGTATGACGTGTTGTGTATAACCGGAATGCTTTCAAAAGTGAAATAAATTGCTTGAATAATTCCAACCTTTACTCTCTTATATTACGTATATAAACGAAAATTTAACCATTTCTTCTAAATATTCATTTAAATTCAAACGTGTATATTTTTTGTTGCAGATATCAACTTCGAGGCACTGAGCGTATCGCATATCGATGATTTCAACCTTACATTTATAAGAAACGAAAAATATTTGTAGCCGCAGCGGTTAAAATATATTTTTGATAAATAATGCAAAATAGATTATAGAAGACGAAATATTTAGACATTTCAATTAGTAACAAATGAGTTTGAGTACAAGAGAAAGTATATCAGCAAATATGGCATCAATAAGTTTGAGGAGTAGTTTAAGGATATTATGGACTTCGGTGGCTGCTCTTATCTTCCTCACGAAGAGTAGTGCCGCACCAGCTTTTGGAGGCACAGATAAAGCTATGGTAAGTTTTATACAGATTAAAAAAGTAACACGTGTGAGGTATATTATTTAATCAACAATATGAATTTTGCAACTGCTATTAATTAAAATAGGTTAAAGATAAAAAAAGACGTAGGCTATTTTTGTTCTAGCAAAATAGGAAATTTTTAATAATGGTTTTAATATTTAATTATAATAATTAATTAATACAAGTTGTAAAATTTCACAAATATGTGGGTTTCGAAGTTATAAACAAATATAAATCATCGCATTTGTCACTAAATTTGCATGATCAATAAACTAATAATAATAAAGCTTAAAATATCATCTTTAGCGCTTCTGCATTTATTTTAACTTCTATCGCATCATATTCAAACTGTTTCATATTGTAAGATGAAATATATATCAAAACCACAGATAATATCGAAGTACACAAGTACCACAGATCACCCAAATCAAACATAGAATGAATACAGATTATACAAATAAAAATACAAGTTTCCGATATGACTAAGACGCAGTTCCGTAAAATACATACCTATACGAGTCATTTATCTTAAAAATCGGAAATGATCTCGCTGGATCGAAGGGATGACTCATGATTTCGAAGAAACTCCGCCCGAGCGTATAAAAACTCAATCTGTAGTAAACACGGTTTTCATTCATGTATATACGAACCACCTACCTGATACAAAACGTTTACTTTTATTGAGTCACATATTTGATGACATTTTATTTAGCTGTTGTATGAATCATTGTATTGATAGCATATTGGTAATTGACTTTAACGATTTGTGTGATTTAGTATTTCTTAATGATATGTTACTTAAATGAATCAGATAAGATAGGTATAGCTCTTATAGCTAATTGTCTATATGTCTACATATACACGGTATCATTTATTTTTCATTTGTTGTTTAGCGGTTAAAAAATGTAATTCTCTTGTTTATGTCAATAAGGGTTATAACAGATTACTATATCTGTTATTCTTATTAATTAATTAAAATTGAGAATTGATCGCCTTTTCGCGCCCTACTGTTGCAAAGCTAATGTCGTTCCTCCGCGATCCAAACCCCAGACTCTGATTCAATTGAGCTACAGAGGGCGTTAATATTACGAATCATGTTAAGCTATTTGATAAATGAGATTCGGTAGTGGATTATTATAAATTACGTCCCTTTTGTCAAAAAATTAAATAAATTGTTTATGTCTTAAGCAGCAACATACCGTTTTGCATGTAGCGGTACTTTTGATGATGGTCATGTAACAACAATAAAAAAACCGGCCTAATGCAAGTTGGGCTTGAACAAGTAGGGTTCCACACCAAAGACAATATTTATATTAAACGTGTCACCCCGTGCCCACAACTGATGCGTAGTTAAAATAAGTTGTAAATAATTTAACTTAAACATTTTGGATTTTAAACCGTCAAAATTGTTAAATTTAAATTTGGACTACTTGCGTAAAGTACAAATAATAGGTACTTAATGTTTGTATTGAAAACAAATTTTTGTTATTTCTTACTATCGAGCAAAAATAGGCAAACATCAGCATTATGTATGGAAGCCTCCCTCCAATATGGTATTTATTCAGTTATTACAGTTGTTTGTATGTGTTGTTATAGAGTCCAAAATACATAATCTGTTGTTTCAACTCTCTATCGCTGTTCTTGATAAACAATCTGGCGACAGACAACAAACTTTGAAAAGAAATAAATTCCCGTTTTCCGTGTTCTTTGGTACCGAAACCCTAAAAACTGTACCGCTTCTCAAAAAGCATACAGCACAGATTACATAAAGATAAACGCGGTCAGTGGTCCGTGAGTCAGGGGAGGATATTCAGCCGAGGAGGAAACGGTAATAAAGTATTCTAAGAAACATAAACGTACTGTGTACTGTGACTCACAAACCAGTTGCGTAGAACGCCTGCCAAGTTCTAGGTCATAGTGCACCGGCCAAAGAATCATAATATTAACATAGGACTGCTACAGACTTACAACATAACATACACAGCAAACATATAAAATTATTAAGTACATAAATCTTGATATAGTATCAAGATGGGTGTGATATTCCTAAATGTAGGATCAAAATAAATATAACTTCTTTACATACTTAGCTAATTTGTCAAAAATTAAAAAAAACTTAGGTACTTAAGTTTTTTTTTAATAATAATTAATATAATTTAAGTAAGTACTTATTCACTTCCTTTTTTTTTACACCCCCCCCATATTTAGTCTTAACGTGGCCACGGCTACTGCAAAGCATCTGAAACGTCGGGCCGGGTTATACTAATTTCGTGATTTAAACTGTTAAATTGTTTTATTAAAATGTGTACTACTCGCATAAACAACAGACAGCATTTGTCCAAGATTATTAAATCGAAATTAGTGCCCCTACATTTTCATTAAACTTTTTTATTGTTTTGGAAAAACATTTAATATTTCAAAAGCCTTCTTATGCTCACAAAATTTAGTTTGGCGAGTTTATAGTTTATTTATGAAATGCTCTCTCAAAAAAAATGTCATAGACTATATTTAGTATTATTTTACGCTAAGGTATTCAAGAGCTCCACAGATACCGCAAAATTTTTAGAAACCTAACTTGGATTTGTTATAATAAAGTTACTATTTAATTTAAAAGGTCCTTGAGATTTTTATTCACAAAGAGAGAGTGGTACTATTGAATCGGCGTACAATAGCGATATTTTAATTCGTTATTATTGAGTTTTGCCCAAATCAGATAAAAGCCATGCCGGTGTCAAGGTTTAGGCGCCCCACAAATAAATTAAAATGGTTACGTAAAATTAATTTCTAATTATTAATTGTTATTGGCAAAATGTTTAATTACCGATCTGGTTTTTATTACTTCTATTCCGATACAACATTTAAGGTCAATGTTAAACAAATTATGAGGGAGTTCTTAAATTTAATTTTTTTATATAATTATAGTTTATCTTCCAAATGTCAAAACTAAAATTTCCACAGCGTATCTAAATTGGATCCACCTTCCATTAAGTAAACCTTACGCGTGTCTATGCTGCATTTGATAAAATATAGTCCTGTGACTATTATGATCACAATATTTATTACTATTTGGTATGCTCGCGAGTTCTCGGAGAATAGTTGTTTTAATCGACGTCGGTCGCGGCCGTTCCCGCCGTCTTGCAAATGAATCTTAAAGGATAGACATGCGTCGCGGACTTTTTTTTAGATAATTTAAAGAGAAATCATTCTCTCATACATATTACTTGGGTATCTTGAACCGTTTTTGCAGCGTACGCCTCGGAAACCCATAATTATGAATAATTTTCCCAATTTTCATCACATTTCCCGCTGTATATTCGCTCATATTAGTTGCAGGACGGTGTTTTATAGCATTCTTCAATAAGTGCTCTAATCAACACAAAAATACAACCAAACATACAAACAAATCCTTTAACTTTATATATTACTATATATTATAGTACCTTCAGTCCCAGAATACTTGCAGGAACTTAAAAATAGGTTAAGAATATAATAGTCTTTAATTAAATATTCTAGTATTGACTTTGTTTGTACACGCATTATTAAAATAAAACCAAACAATTATAATCTGTGGATATCCTTAGGAGGATTAGCAAACGCAATTCCTCAATTTATTCTTGTATCGTCGGGATTATACTGGAACCGGGAAGAGTATTGAAATGCAATGGTTACTAGGAAACGCTATACGAAAGTTCACGACGCATTTTCACCAGTTACAATCACCATGGCTTTCTGATATAGGTCGTTGTACTTGGTCACGTGACTTCGATGTCATCTACCTCCACAGTCATGGTGTTTCCTGTCATTCTCAATGGTTACTGTTATGAGTAACACACCCTTTTTTAGAGGGTCATTCTCCCACTAAATACTGTCCACACTGTACAGAGAACAATGCCCTGAAACTGGCGAGAACGGGTCCTCTACAAGACGATTAATGGGTCATAAAAATTCGACGCATGTCCACCAGCGGACATCTCTCGTTAGATTTTCTATGCCGTTTCGAACAATGAACTTTTAAAGTATGACTAGTGATGTGCTCAAAGCGCACTAGTGTGTAATCCGTGAGGCGATTCCTTTGTTTTCGTATTGTGTTATACGAATACCTAATAGACTCGTGTTATAAGTGTCAGACACACTACTGAGACCGTTTCACTGATATTTTTTTTCATTTTAAAGTAGTTTATACTCATATATACTTAATTACAAAACAATATTTTTCCCGCGTTATGTAGGTTTATGTTTTGGAATGTAACTGATACAATCTTACGTTAGTGTAAAATTCTATCGGTGAGATAAAGGAGCCAGTTATGCTCCATATTTCAACTCCAAACGAGGCTAGTCACGATTCATAAGATATAACTATTTATATTTTTGGAATATGCGCATGAGCATTTCAATCAGTCAGTTTTATTACAAATAAAATATTATATCTAACTAAAATAGAGAATATTCTATATTTTATATTAAGTATGCTGCAAAATCTGTATAAACATACGTTATTAAAAAGGACACGTGATCAGAATATAAATTTAAAATATTACTTGATTTTTAAGTTTTTAAATAAAAAATGTAATTATCACTAAGTTAATTTTCATTCTAATATCTTCACCCATTCAACATTAATTCCCCAATTAATAATTACATAAGTAATATAATAACACAATATAGATTAACAAAACGACCACAGACAGCAGTCAGACGTACGTGATGATTACCAGAATTGCGGTTTACTGAAGAATATTAAATTTAAATAAATATGATGTGTACCGAATGTTTCTTGAGATGATTCTTGTCACGCACACAGGAAGCACCCTGCGACCTTCAATACGCCCACGGTCACTCTTCTGAGCTGATCACTGTGCAAAGTCTATCCATGTTTCATCTTGCCACAGGCTGTTGAGCCTGTGGCAACTATATAGAATATAAATACAGTTAATAAATAACAATTAGAGTGATGCGCAGAGTAATAAAAAGTAGAGCAAATAGAAATTATAATC